CATGCTCCCTAAATCCCTCTCACCTTTGAGCACAAAGGCATTCAGCGCTCCCCGCCGGTTAACGGCTGCCGCCCGCGGCCATTGTAGGCGGAATGAAAGAGAAATGGAGCCGGCGCAGGGCTGGGGTGGGAATTGTCACGTTCTTCACCGAAAAACCCTCCGTAACTCACAGAGGAAAAGAAAACCTGCACTAAAACTGACTGACAAAAAGGAAAAAATGGTATTTGGTCACAAAATGCATCGCATTCTGCTCACTGACAACCCCCAGTTTCACATAGACGAGGCTAAAGCGCAGCCACGGGCCGGCTCGGGGTTGTGGGTTTTAGCTGCTTTGCTGCAAACCGCAGGCCTCGCGGGCCCTGCAGTCACCGATGGCCGCRCGGGAGCAGGTGTAGCTTCAAAAGCACCAGCTAAACTGATTTACACCCATGGTTACTCGGAATGCTTCCAGTTTAAGGCATTCATGGAAAGGCTGCGGGAATCCCAGGGGCGGGATTGGGTTTATCCACCTTGCTCCAAAAGCAACGCCGCTCTCCCCGGGGCGCTCGGAAGGGCGCTGGGTGGCGATGCACAATGGTGGAAAGATAACAGTATTTAGCAGTTCTCTTGAATCGGCGCTTTCTCCTACGCTTTTGACTGCAAAAATGCCCCTTTGTTTTACCCAAGTAACATGTGGTTCACACGTTATTAACTAGACAACACACCAAACAAAACGGGCTCGGGAGAAGGAGTTACTCCATTGGAAACGCTTCCCTGAGCAGCACTACCATTGAAGGAAACAGGTTTCCAGCCCATTTTGGGAACTTACTTGTCACTTTGCTGTCTCACAGCCACAGAGTTGACAGCCCCAAGGACGTGGAGAGTTTCATCAGGCCCTGAATTGCTCTCGGACCTGTTAATGTGCAGAGTTGAAGACTGCTAATGCTGTCACCAGCTTCAGGACTGTTTACTGTGAAGACAGAAATCTGTCTCGTTGCACTTACAAGATAACTAAGATGACCCAAGAGAAGCCTTTTATATAAATACATATATCAAGGTGAATATACATACATTGTTTGCATATGTTTTTATGTGTACTGTATATCTGCCAGCATACAGAAGATTTTCACCATGCTCTTTAGGGTGCTGTTTGCTTGGGGCCAACAGACCCCAAAGCAAAGGCATCAATGTGCAACCACCATACAAGCAATGTAGCAGTGAAGGAGCTTGTTTGGGTTACTTAATCAATGATATAGGTTTTATCAGCATGCTTTGATTTTTAAAATAAAGTTAATAACAAAAAAAAAAAAAAAAAAAAANAATGTGCAACCACCATACAAGCAATGTAGCAGTGAAGGAGCTTGTTTGGGTTACTTAATCAATGATATAGATTTTATCAGACTGCTTTGACTTGTAAAACAAATTTAACAAAAAAAAAAAAAAAAAAAAAAAAAAGCAGCACTAGTCAATCTGGTTAGAGACAACAGAGCAAAACATATCCAGATCACTTAATAGCTTTTTTTTAAGACCTAGAGAAAGTTTCTTTCATTTTTTTTTTTTTTTTTCAGCTAAGAGTGTTTACAGGGCACAGTAATTAGTCACTATTTATGGGACTAAAGGTTAGGACTCTTTTTAAAGGGACTGCAGCATGCTGAAGCAGCACCATGGAGCTGGGATGGAGCCCCGATATTCAAAGATGTCAAAAGAACTAAAATCAGTTCCCTTGACAGAGGTGCTTTCTAAGAGCTGACATGACTCCATGCAGTTGTGTTTTGGGGTAACTCTACCTGCAGTTATGTGAAGAAGACTCTCTTGAGTCATTGAGTGATGACTGAAGTGCAGTTGCAGTTTGACTTGGTTTCCCCTTTAATATATTCTTTGTTTTGTTAAGCTCTGTTTGGCTTTTGTAGTGTTTTCCCYGGCTTTGTTTGTCTTAACATCTTCGTACAAACACTTTAAAAATAGGTACAGAAATAACCACATCAAATAGCTCAGGTCCTGATGTCCATTAGAGGGTTTGCAGCTATTCTGGCATTATGCTGTATAATTCCCTTTACCTGCTGCCTGCTGCCTCAGCCTGCATACAGCTCTTCTTGAAGGTCCTGCAGTCCCCAGTATTCCATATTTATCCTTTTATTAATTGAATCTATYTATTTCTTCTTTGCTATAATGACAATTATATCTGTTAGTTTAGCTTGAAATGATTTGTGTCAAAGGACAGACAGCAATCTGTGGCTCCAATGGTCCAGCTGTAGAGAAGTTCAGAGTTCAAATTTGTATGTTCCACAGTCAAGAAAGAAAAACAACTATTTATAATCGATAATCACATTCTCTTTTGCCGTTTCCATTCTTACTGCAGGTGTTTTGAAGGCTACTCTTTTCATTCAGATCTATGACTACATGGAAAGCTGCGTTTGCATGTGAAGACTCCTGATTCTGATAATGTCGTGACTTACCCGGAACTGTTGCTACCTGAGGTAACATTTCCTTGACCAAACCYACTTTTAAGTATTGTAGTCTCTTCCTTGAGCCAGCCGGGGTGATCCTCGGTAGCATTCAGCAAGATGGAACATGCAATGGAGGGACAACTAATACGAGCRCTTGGCATTTATTCTAACCTATTAGTAAGCACAATCAACTGTTGGAAAAGCTCACAGAATTGGGTACTTCTACATTTTTTTCTCCCAAAGACTTCTATTATTTACTGCCCTCTTCCTAATCCTCCCTTGGAAGCTGAAGCGTTGCTGACAATGCTACAGGTACAGGAAATGCATTAGAAAAACAAATCAGGCCCTCCAAGATAAGAAGCGCTTCCTAGAGAGACACTGTTAGCCAGTCAGCAGGACTGTGATCGCTGTTAGCTACTGGATTCAGCACTTGTCAAATCAGAAAGAGGTATCTGCAGAAGCAACAAAACCAAGCCCAAAAGCCTGCGAGATGTTGAGATGTGGCAGCTCCTGCCTGCTGCGGTCCCTTTCCCGACGTTCCTCCCCACRCCAGCTGCCGGGCGCTGTCGTTTCATTGCCGGCAGTGCTGGAATTCGCAGCTGGATGACGGGTGGAGACTGGCTCGCCCCAAGCCTCCCTGCAGAGCCACAGCCGCACGGGCCCCGCTCCTTCCCGCGGTGCTCCCSGTGCCACAGCAGCAACGTGGGAGCAGCACGGACGGCTCGGGCAGCGCTATTAGCTCCGCTCAGACCCCGCTCGGGCAGGTGTGGATGATGGATTCACCTGCCAAAACGTGCCCGTGCCAACCACGTGCACCGCACGCGGCTGGGATTGAGGAAACAGCCACAGGGCTTGGCGGGGACAGAGGTGCCAGAGCCTCTTTCACCTGTAAGCACCGCAGCACATTTGAAAACCTTGCTCTGAGTTTCCCTCGGCCCCGGACACCCAACGGGAACATTTGCTTCCTCAGGAGGCGAAGCCACCACACAACAGCACGCGATTGCATGGCAAATGTTTTGGGACACAGCTGCAAACTGGGACACAGCAACTCTGCCCCCACCTCTGCCACGCAGGCTGCCAGGTGATCTGCAGCCAGGCACTTTCTGCTCCTAGCTTTAACATTTTCATAAAGCAGGGGGGATCAAGACTAACCCCCGCTAAGCAGCAGCAGACAAAGCAGTCATTATGCCAAGATTTAAATCATTACGCCGAGGTTTAGCTCTTAAACCCTTCAAGAGCTGTTGCTCGTAGAGCACCAGCCCCCTTTGCCTCCCCGCCGTGTCAAGCGGCGCCCCCGGCCGCRTCTCCCCAGCACTCCCAGGGCCCTTCGGCGCCGTCCTCCCCCGTCCCTTTGCCGAGGCCGGCGTGCCAGCAGGAATGCCGGTTGCCATGGCATTTTGTCCCCTACAGACACACGTCCATTAAAAACCAAGTCAGCATCAGGTTTGCTTCACAGAGCAGCTTCCAGTTACTGYGAGGAGCCGCTGAGGAATTGCCATTGTCACCTCGCATGTCGCAATGCCCTTTGCTGCTAATCCCCAGGGATGAGCCTGTACCTGCTGCAGGAGAGGCACAGGTACATTCGAAATCCRGGCGGAGGATCCCAGGCTCATTCCAGGAGCCCGTGGCACACGCGCAACGGCTGCGCCAGGCTCCGCTGCTGTTCTTCCTCCCATTCCCGAGATCTATCTGCTGGAGTAATCGGAAGCTGCAGACGTTGCCCGGCTCTGACACGTTATAGCTGCTGCTCGGAGCGGGGATTCTGGAGCGCAAACGCAAGCAGAGCTGCCTGCATGGACTGGGAGCTCTGAGCATGGAAAGAGCTCCCCATTTCTACCACATCCACTGCTGGGAGCAGCTAGGCCGCCCCCGCGCAGCGCCCAGCTTTCCCAGCAAACCTGCTGGGAACTAGCGATGTCTTCCCGCTTGCTCACAAGATCACAGCGCTGTTTGGGATTGCGAGGGAGCTGCATGGTTTCCACACTCCCCCTCAGCCCATCCCGCGCGTGTCCGGGCCAGAGGCTCCTCGGAGGTGTCCGTGGGGAACAGCGAGTTTCCTGTGACCCTGCTGCCAGCGCAGCCCGGCCTCCTGGCACGCCTGGGCTGCATGGGAATTCTCTGGTGTTTTTACGTGGATGGTAACAGCACTACTGCCTGAGGGCTGGACCCTGAAGCCTMTCCAACAGGGGCTGAAGGCAACCAGTGCACAGGGCTGTGTCCTTATGTTCCCTCACGCAGCATGAGCTGAATTTCTGSCTGGCAAATACACAAGCGGCATCTCCCACCTCCAAACCAGCCTGCAAGCACTGCTAGGTGTGTGCTGGTGAAGCGCCGGCCTTGGGAAGCTGTCCCAGCTGGATGCATCTGCCTTTGAGCTACAGTTATTAGACCAAAATGCCCATTTACATTTAAAAGAAAAAAAAAAAAAAAGAAAAAAGCAAAGTATAGGAGAAATGGCTGCAACTTTCCTGGAGCTCAAATGAGGACAAGGTCAGTCAACAAGATCATGGCAGGAATTTTCCATGCAGCCCTAGGGAATTAGGCTCCCTTAGGGGGCACAGGGCACCCCATGTCTGCTGAGGGGTCTGGGCCCGGCCCTTTGTGCACAGAGGACAAGGGCCACGGTGCCGAGGGCCTGTGGCCAAGGCCAGGGCACTGGSTCGTCCCCCATTTCCCTGCCCGGGCAGCAGGCACTCCATCCCCGCTGCCCTGCCACATGGTAAGTCTCACATTCCCACAACCTCTTATGGTCCTGAGTCATTAGCCACAAGCCTGGCCAGATGTTGGAGCAGCCCAAGGAGCCCCTCAAGGCAGGGGGTCATTGGGCCCTAGCTTGAACAGCAGCACCCAGTCACCAAGCTGCAGCTTTTCTGCCCAAGCTGCCCCCTTTCCATGAGGCAGAGATTATGGCCCAGCCTTGCTCAGCTGGGCCAAAGCRCCCCGGCTCAAACACAAGGAAAGACTTGGTTGGAGGCTTTACACCTTTGACTTAAAGGTTTGAGAAGAGGRCACATCTCATCCTTCCTGTCGCCCCAACTGTCTCTTCCCACCCTGCCACTTGAACACAAACACTGAACACTTGTAATTTTTCAATCATATTTTTTGAAAACAAATTCCAAGATACAGTACAGCATCTCCGTGTTCTACATAAAGCAAGCTTTCAGCAAAAGGTAGGAGCATCTTGGATGGTGTAAAAATATATCTTAAATAAAATAGTTTCTATAGGAGAGCAAGCCGTGTTGTACATCTCTAGCTCTTTAGAGTATTTTACAGAAGGCAGAGGCCTGGTTGCACAATCCCCACGCTAAAGAGTTGGTGTACATTCATGCTACAAAATTAGAAAAGGGAGAAGTTCCAGGTGATCAGGACACATCTTCAAACCAAAGCAATGGATGCAGCGAGGGCCTTTAACAAGAGCCGTATATTTCAAGGTAAGGAAGCTTAATGCCTCCCAAAAGGAATCTGCCTGTCAGTGCAGTCACCAAGCAGATTAAGTAAGACTCACCTTACTAGAGTGCTCATATTTATTGCATCTCCTTCCTTTCTGTCAAGTCAAGAGAAGAGCTGTCTGGTGTTCTGCTGTTTTGGGCTGGGGCTTCCAGCACTGTCGCTCTGACACCGCCAGGATGAGGCCACAATCCAGGGAGACAACTGCGGAACAGCCCCGGCCAAGGAGCAGCCTCCAACACCCACGTTCCAGGGGGCACAAGGCAGCAAGGACACCCACTTCTCCAGGTGGGATAAAACGGGGAAGCCACGCTGTGAAAGGCCCTATCCTCCCACCCGGGCACAGAACCCACCCCACCACATTCCYGGGAGCAGAGGGGAGCACCCACATCCCATGCGGGGGATTGGGATGAGGCCGTTTCTGCTCAGTCTTCACAGGGAAGGTTCTGCTCAAAGAAACACCTGAAAAACAACCACGTTAACAAGTGCTGGAGCAGGGAGCCTTCTGCACTCTCCACCCCCACGGTGGCCAGCACTGGCCTTTAGAGGCCATATTTAGAAAGAAGAAATAGCAGTTCAAAGTCCCGTAAAGCATTTAATATCCTAGATAGGGCCCTCCAGGACTCATTTAACTTTCTTACACCACTAAGTTTATTTTCCACACCACACTCCATTTTATTTCCGAGCTACAGTCCTCCTCCTGCACTAGCAACTCTGCAGGTTCTGGACTGTGTGCACTAAAAATGTACACAGTCCAATTCACATCATTTCTTAAATAAAACTATGTACTAATGGATCTGCAATCCAAAGAGGCGGGGAAGAAGGGCTCAGGAAGCCTTAAGCCCTAGGCCTAGCCTATAGCATCCCCATGGGGACCATGATGACCCCAGAACTGCACAGCCTCCCAGAAGAGTCAAACACAGGGTAGCAGGGGCTTGGAAAGGTTGGGAGGCCAAAACGGTCACCAAGATGTGCCTAAAAAGAGCTAAACAGTGCAGGGAAATGCTTTTAAATACCACAGACACCTCCCCGACTGGCAACCAGTTTTATGAGAAGCTCTGAAGAGGATCCCGAGCTCGGCAGCGCCAGGTGTTGGCAGCTGGTGTCCAAGCCGGAGCGGTGCGTCCCGGCGCTCACTTGCCCCTCTTCCCACGGCCTCTCCTGGCGCTCGGCTTTCCCGTGCCCGCCGTGGAGGCGCYGGCCGAAGAGGCCACCGCGATGTTGATCTGTCCTTCCTGGATCTCCTGCCGCGTCTCCGCCGGGAGGTGATTGATTTTCTGCTGTGTCTCTAAGTAGAACATGACGTCGCGCAGCTGCTCCTGGATTTCCGAGATCTGCAGGTCCTTCTGTTCGCAGGTTTCCTTCAATGCTCTCTCCTCCTCCTTCAGCTTGTTCTGAAGCAGGGCTTGATTCGCTCGCAAGCACTTGTTCAGTTCTTGCTCCTCTCTCAGTTCATTGGAAAGTTTAGCCACTTTGTTATTCAGCTGAGAACACCTTGTGGAGAGAAGCAGAAGATCAGGAAAGTGCAGGTCTCCTACAGGGGATGTCACCACCTCCTGCCCCAACCCCAGCAGAGCCACTCAGGGGGTCTATGGGGAGATGGGCAGCACCACATGGCACAGACAGTGCCCCCCTGCTCCTACCAACCACCCTGAGCTTCTCCTGCCAACCTGCCGGCCTCCCACACCAACGGCTTCCACTCAGCCCTTGGGCATCTGCAGAACTTGGCGCTGGCCGAGATGCTTTTCCCTCCTCCGAGGACRCGTCCTCCAGCTGCAGCATGGACCAGTGTCTGCTACAGGGCAGCTGAGGAAGAGGAAGGTTTCCCTGTACGCTGAGAGCCAACACGCCCATTCCACTCCACAGGCACCTCTGCGAACACCCACAGAAGCAAGAGCTTTTCTTTAAAAAAAATAAGCTAGGCTTTCCCTCTGCTGGTTTAAATAGCTCAACATCACCCAGGAATAGCAGTTTTTTTTTTTCCTTATTGGATGCGTTTTGAGTTTCAAYGGCTGCATGCAACCAAACCTGGCAGCGGTACCCACTTCCTTTCGACAGACTGCTTTTCTTTGAGCAAGTCATTCAGCCTCTGTTCCAGACTGTCACACTTCTCAATGGTCTCTTTAAATTTGGTCTTCATGTTGTTAATCTAAAAACAAACACACGGACATTTCAAACAGATCAAAGTCCTGGGCGCTTTCATTATGACATTCATTTTTCTGGAGCGGTTTCTAGACTTTGACCAACTGCTGTACCCAGGTAAGCAAAAGTTCACACGAGCGAGAAGAGCAAATGCTGCCAGTCTGGATTAAACCCCTCCGTTACCCCCTGCAGTTACCCCAGCAAGACCCACGTTGCCGGGGAAGTTGCTCACCCAGGACAGCAACTCGGGCTGCAACCCGTGCCAAGGAATTCCATTCACAAAAGGCTGCATCAGATCTCTAACGTTTTATCCACCGCAGTTCAGGATTCATTGAGCCATTCTCTCCGCTCTTTTTTTGCGTCCACCAGCTAACTTAAATTTCCCCCCAGGGCTTTACAATAGATGGCTTTTGCTCCTTTTGAATTAAATTTCAAATAAATAGGGGCAAAGTCTGAAAATGCACATGCTGTTTCCGTCAGCATTGACTCAGCAGTTTGCTGTCATAAGACAGTGACCTACTGACATGAATATCTTAGTCAYGCACCACGCAAACAGAAATGCACACACCAGCTTCCTCTTCCCCATGATTACAACACAAGAGACCATTAATGCTCAAGAGAAACATGCTCCAGAACACACAAAAACACGTTCTGACACAGGACATGGCAGATTTCTAGACAGAAGTTCCCATTTCCCCTATTATCACAACCAAARCAGCCTTGCATGCACCGGTGACAGGATCCAAGAGGAAAAGCTTTCCTGGAGGAGCAGTTTGCAGGTGCCAGTGGCCGCACACACACTGTCCCCAGTGAGGCCGGGGCAGGTTGGAAGCCTCCTGGCTTCGATCCCCAGCTGCTTGTGCTGCTGACTGCGGATTTGGGGAAGTGGCCTAAGTCTTGATAATGGAACACACTGCACAGTGGCATCCATCCCGGGGAGACTTGCATGGATGCAGTGCCCTGAATAAATCCTAGGGGGTTTCAGCATAAAGTAACATTTGGAGCATTTATAGCAGTTGTTTCAGTCAAACATTAGTCAGTGGATCATGTTTCCAGGTCACGTGCAAGATGATTTTTATGACAGATATTTCTTTTATAGGCATTTCTGTGCTATTTATGGGGCTTTTCTTTAAACCAGGGTTGATCACTGTTTTGATGGCATTAGAAGCCTTGATTTATATGTTTATGATGGAACATCACTGCAGAATTAGAAATAACACAGACAGTTAAGGACTCAAGTGCAAGTCCGGATCACTTTAAACTCAGTTAAAAGGATCCATAAAGAGTGAAAGACACAGACAAAAAAAGAGGGGGGGGAACTCAGTGTGTTTGATGCAGAGACACCGTCCACTTTCTGCATCCAAGCAGATTAGAGTTGCACTGTCTACACTACACTAATCTTCCCTAGGGATACTTRGGCAGGAGACAGATTGGATCAGCAAGCAGGGATGCTGCAGCAGCACAGACGTGTCTTCCCCACCACTGCAGCTTCCCCAGCAGCCCCTGGAAATCAGCCTTCAATCTGCGTGGCCATCTACCCGCTGCTGCATCACCAAGCGGCAGGCTGAGCACGGAGATAAGGGATTCGTCTTGGAGCCAATTTTCTCAGCTGGCAGAGACACAGGCTACGCCAGGCTGCACTGTGCAGAACCCAGGCTTGGGGAGGAACTGAACGGCTCCAGCTACCACTGCAGTTATGAGTCCAGGGGCCTGGAAAGCCCAGAGCAGAGCTCACCTCTTCAGCCGTATCCTTCTCTATCCGGACAATCTTGTTTTCCCAGTAGATTCGCTGCGATTCCAGCTGGCTTGTTAGCAGATATGAGTACTGTGATCACACAACAGAGAGCAGTCAGCTTTTTCAAACAAACACACACACACACACATTTGTATTCTCAAGTACTATTCTCCAACAGGAATGCCTCATTCTAGTGTTATTTTGGCACTGGAATAAGGATATAGTGCCTTATATCCCATCTTTTCCCTCTTGGTTCTACAGTTGAACTATGAGGCTGCTGGAAAATGAGACCATTTCTTAATGTCAGGTTAATAAGCACCAAATCAGACCTTCACTTCAGAATTGAAGAGGAACAAAAAGCCGTGAACTCTCTTGGTAATATCAGAGACCAAACAATAGACTGCAAAGCCCACCATCTGCAAACTTCTAGATTTTAAGCTAGATAAAGAGGTATTTTACATAATTTAAGCAATAGGTACCTAAAAATAAGAGTTAAAATAAGCTGAGTTAGCCTTTAAGTATAAGTCAGAAAATTCAGGGAAATCAAGTCGTTTTCTGAGCTGCCCATTTACAGAGGCTGYGCTCTCTGCATTGCTCCTCCTCAGGCTCTCCTATGCCCAACGTGGCTGAAATCACACTGCAGAGTATCCCTCAGCAGAGCAGCAACTGGGGTTTCCCTTTCCTTAAAGGTAGATCATGGGCAAGGGAAACGCATCACACTTGGACCTTCGTTTTTGAGGCCTCCACACTTGTATTTYGCGAGGAAGCAGCTGGAGAGAACAGGTACTAAACAAAACGAGCCCACACATCTGCTCAAGGGAATGGAGCAAAGAGGCTGCTGCCAGACAAGCCTGCTGCCTCCCCCCGGGAGCCAGGACAGGCRCACGGCTCAGGCTCCCGCACATCTGCTCTGTTTACAAGCAGAGCTGCTCATGTTGGTGCTTCCCTGCACRCCCTGGGCTCTTAGGCCAGGTCTAAGATCCACTAACGTGAGGAGGGCTCCGGGCGAGCGAGTCGGGCCACGTTTTGCTCCTCCAGCCTCTGCGTGTGCAGCAGTGCAGCTGGCTGATCTTCCACCCGCCAGCGCCGAGGCTGCAGCAGCTCAGTGCTGGCTGCATTGGCTCTGCAGAGCCCYGAGGAGTTTAGGAGGGGAGGGAGAGAGAGGGAGAGAGAGAGAAGARAAACAAAACACTAAAACCATCCTGCCTGTGCCCGAGGAGGATTGCTGACATGCAGGGAGCAGGGCTGCTGCACGAGCTGATGTCATCTTCCCATAGGCAGATCTGGATTTGAAGCATTTTGTTTGACACAGCAGCACAGAGTCCAAAGAGCCCAAATATTTACCTCTAATTGTAAGGCATCAATTTTCTCTTCCTGACACATATCTCCCTCACACTCATACTGAACTATCTTCCCATCAGTTTTGCTGGCAACCAGTCGATGGACGTAGTTATCTGAAAAGAAAAGATTCATCTGAAGGGAGTTTAATTTTAGGAACACCCAGGCTGGCAGCAATGGAAATACTTTATGCAGCACAGCTAACCCTGCTGTACTAATATGCTGTTGCAGCAGTCTGCATGAAGCCAACAGCAGATGTATCTGTTGTTTAGCAGACTCCACACAGACACCTTACAGGATATTTATTACAACAGCCCATTTTCAAACCTCAGGGCAAATTGATGGCAAGGGAGAAACAAACACATTCCACAGGGGCTACAGGACCGCCCAGGCTCATTATGGAATCACATCCTCCCTCTCCCACCTGATCCAGCCCCACAAAAGCTGCTATTAGAAAGGAGATGGATGTTCTCAAAAGATATTAGTGCAGATGCAAAGCCATTGATGTCCAAAAAAAATCAAGGGCTCTCAGCAAGAGGCTGCAAAAGCTGTTTTAGAAACTGGGTTGTCGCACGAGAGGGGAGGAGGAGAGCACTTACCGCCGGCGTAGTCCCAGACCCTGTGGTTGGTGAGCTGCATGGCGTAGGTGTGCTGGGTCTCCTCAAAATGCTTGTACGCGTGGCGGCTCACGTAGCGCCCGCAGCCGATGTGCCCACAGATTAAACAGATCCACAGGTTCTGTCAAGGGAAGGAAGAAGCCCTGTACGTACAAGTAGCAGTCCCAGTGCTTTGAGAACGCGGGATCGAGGACACGGACATGCTGCTGATGCTGGGTGTTCCCAGGCACCTGCTTGGAAAGCTTTTTCTCCTCTCTGAGGCCTCACTGGGATTAAAGGCTAAGGAGAAGCAGTACCTGCTCACTGATGCCAGTTACAAGCCTGCAGGTGCCGGGCACTTTGATACCAGCACAAGCATGAATGGAAGAATGGGCTTGATTAGGGAACAAGGCAGCACAGCAGGACCATGAAAGCAAGCTCTGAACAACACAGGCTGAAACTGCTCATTGTTAGTTTAGCCCCCTGCTATCACGCAAGCTCTCATCAGCTTATACTCTATTATGTCTCTAAGAATTGGAAACATTTGCCAGAGTGGGAAAACCTGGGTGGTAACATCCCTCCYCAGGACTGACTAGCTCAAAGGGAAAGCAGCTACCTCACCGACTGGTAAAATCAGTCCAAGAGCAGCCACAGAATTAACCCAAGAACAGCTAGAGCAGCAGCACAGASAAATCTGGCCTAGATCTCACATCCACCCACCTACTTACTTCTTGAACTCCACACTCAAAACACTTGTTCTCTTCCACTGGCTCAGGCGTTTGGCAGTATCTGCAGACAGGACACCTAGAGGGCAACAAGCATCATGATTAGATTTAAGAAGCTCCATCTTAATATTATGGAAATTAAGAATAGAGGCAGAGATCTCAAAGGGAATGCTTTATGGACTGGAACACTCCCTACACACACACACCTTTTGTCTCTCACTTTCCCAGCTCAATTTGGTCTCCTACACAACTTTACTGTTTTCAAGCCAGGAAATGCCAGAACAAGTATGAGTTCTTCTGAAACCACTCCATAGTCTCAGTTTGACCTGGTTTTGCTCTAGTCCAGCCACAAGCCAGGAGCAGCAGTGAGGCTGCCAGGCACCTCCACACACAAGCAGGAGAGCAGGAGCAGRGCCCAGGACACCCTGCTGTGCCTCAGCTGCGAGCGGCCACACAGAGGTCTCAGCCCTGCTGCTCTGGACTGCTGCCAACTGCCAGCGTCTCCAGGTGGGAGCTGCCACCATCAGGGTCACCTTGGTCTTTGAGGACAGCTGAGAAGGCAGAAGGGGACTCTGCTCTAGTGAAGCAAGAGGTACGCACAGAGCAAAGGCCTCTGTAGCCCTACCAGATGACAGTAAGAATGGCCTCTTGTCACCACTATTTCTTGGTGATTCTCCACTACTTAAGTTATCTGCAGGTTTTTGTGGAGCACCTATACATCATTGCTGAAAGGCATTGCAGCTACACACTGCTGAGACTGCCGGGTGAGACACAGGGGCTCCGGCACTTTGCAAAACATCCCTCAGCTTCAACTTCATTCCCACCCCAGGGATTCAGCTTCAGCTCTTCCAGGAAAAGTGACCCACAACCAAACCCTACAAGAACCATTTCTTATGACACTATTCCACTGTGCCATCAGAAACACCGAAGATCTCAGACCAGAAAGAACCTTTGTCCAGCCCTGAACCACTAGCAGACTCAGCTAGCGAGGGAGGTAGCCCTGGATCTGGGTTTGCTGCCAGAACTGCTCATGTATTTTTCATTAGCTGCTGGATGAGCTACAGAAGTAATCATGGGAGTGGACATTTGCATTGCAATAAGCTCCCTAGACAAATTCAGCTGCTGTGGTGCCTAAGCAAAGGAGKCAGGAATCTTATTCTGCCTTTCTCCTAGACTGGGAGCTGAAGTTCTTTTTAAGGTTGATATGAAGTGCTGCTTTCAGTCTTGCTCCTACACTGGCTAAATTCCACTGCTCCGAATTTAACTGGTTTTGATTTGTGGGGCAAAGCAGCCAATAAACTAGAATAGCTACAAATGCTCTAAATCCCACTGAGGTTCTGTTTCTGTGGCTCACAAGTGATGTGCAAAGAGGGGGTTAAACTTCCCCTCCTGGTCTCCCAGCTGGTCAGGCAGCCAGAGGTGCTGGTAACAAAGGGAGCAGAGATGRGGCTCCAGTCCAGCCACCTTCTGCTGCAGTATCCGTGACGGCCTCACGTGCAGTAAAACAGCAAACAGCGACCACAAGAATGTGAAACACCCACAAGGGACAGTGATTAGCACCGAGTGCTGCTGTGGAAGACTTGGATACACTGAAACATCCAACTACAGGAACGTGCAAAGCAGTTACAGCAAGAAGAGGGAAAAGGCAGCAGAGGGAAGAGCTTCYGCCTGAAGGAACTGGCAGGAGCTCCAGCCCCCATGCTCGGATGGGCAGAACCAGTCTGGTCAGCATGTAGCCACCAGGCTCAAAGCAGGGCTTTATGCCGGGCCATAAGGAGGAGCTTCTTACGTGGTGTCCTCCCAGCGCTGCAGACACTGGCTGTGGAAGCTGTGGTTGCACAGCGTGGTAAGGATCCCGTTCACAGACTCGTCCATCCTCTCCAGGCACACCGTGCACTTCGGGAGCTCTGTCAGATCCATCACAGGCAGGCTGGCTCCCTTCAGCAGAAAAGGAGGGGACAAATTGCTCGGCATCCTCCAATCCCCAGAACTTAAGCACTCACAGTAAAATGAATCTTAAACTTCTCTCTCATTACTCTTGGCACTGAGGTGCAAAAACCCTCCTAGGTATCCCTGCGAGTCTGCAGTGGTTAGAAACTCCCCAGATGCAAAAGGAAAGTGGTCTATGACACCCAGAACAGACCACATCCTCCTCTCTGCACCACAGGCTCAACGCGGCGGCCACACCTGCAGCCAGCCCCATTCAGCTCTCTGCATTCGCCACATTCACTGCACAGGGCAGGTTGAAGACATTGCAGCGGGGAGCCAAGAAACCCGTAATGTCACCCGAACTGTCTCAAGTAGAAACAAATAGGAAGTGAGCTTTGTATCAGTGTGAAGCAGTTTTTACTGTGTGCTGTCCAGTGCAATATAATCCTGTTAAAGTTCTCTCAAGTTCAGGGGAAAAAAACAAAAAAACACCAAAAAAATGAAAATAAACAAAACCCCAGTACAGACCAAACCCCCACGCATCCACACTTACATCTTCTGATTTGAAGACTTCAGCCCTTTCCACATACACCAGCTGGCAAACATCTTCCTCTATGGAGTTGAACTGCCGCCCGTTGCACGCCATGTAAAAGCTGTCTGCATCAGCCTAGACACAAACCAGGGGAGACGGTTAGAGAGACAGAAACTCTGCAGCTGATACTGCCAAATGAGAGGAGAAATCCACAGTATCCTCCCATCCCTGCTCCCCCGAGTCCCACACTATCAGAGGAAGGGTCTGCGAGTTGGCTCCTGTCAGCAGACACTGCATCTCCTCGCTGGTTTAGTGCCATTTTCCACCACTCCAAGTCAAGAAATGAAGTTCACAGCAGTGATGGCTACTTGGACATCCCAGCGCTCAGCAGCAATAATGGGCTTCTCTTTGGTATTGGTTTTGCCCCTCGTCAGAAATTTCAATGCATTTGCAAAGCAAATTCGGTGTATTTGCAAAAAAAAAAAAAAAAAAGAAGACATGGGATGAGGGCTGCGTTCCAGCACACACAGACTCGCATCAGGGAAAGTAACAATTTACCCACGGGAAGGGATCCCTTTTACTGGGAGCAATTCAGGCATGTGAACCATCTCCGACTGTCTCTTGCAGAGACGCAGAATCAAAACAAAACCTGTCAAACGTCTCATCCATATTCACGGGGTGACCTCGCCAAACCCTGTCTCTGGCAAGAGATCCCACAAGAGGCAAGTGAGCCAGGTTCCCACCTTCCCAGTTGTCCCAGCTAGGACAGGTTTTTGTTCCTGGGAAATAACACATGGTTGAGGGAAGTGCTGACTAAACCATCTCCATAACCCCCGGATATTTTGTTTGCAGCTGGAAGAAGAGTAGGTGAAAATGAGAGGGTCCACGCAGGAAGTGGCATGAGGGAATTTCTCAAGCGAGTCAGGAGGAGGTGTGCGCAGCAGCGCGATGTCAGGCAGCCAGCTCATCCCTTGCGCCCCTTTTGKGGGACACTGCCCTTTCCCACTACGTGGGCAGTGGCTGGGAGGCTGCCCAGCTCCTCAGGAAAACTGGCCAAGACTTTTCTAGATGGCAAACGAAGCCCAGCAGGCAGGATTCCTTCTGACCATCACAGCACAGCGCCCTGCTTTCCCTGTGAGCATGTGGAGACTTCCTGTTTCTTTTTCAACAGCAGGAAAAACAAACTCTACAGAGCATTAAATCCAAGTTGCTCACTGACCTCTGAGGTAACAGAGAACTTGAACAGGGTTTGGTCTACATATCCTTAATATACATATTTTAACATCTGCCAGAAAGGGGATAGGCAGAGCATGACCCACACCTGCTTCCAGTTCCAAGTGTGGGTCTAATCCTAGCCAGCAGCTCAAGGAAGAGCTGGGCACGGGCCAGGCCTGTTTTAAAGCAGATAAAGTGCAATCTCAGCTAGCACGAGGCCAGAGAAGCCAGAGAGCTCCCCTAAACAGCAGGGTATGACACCGTGGCACCCCTTTCATGACAAAGGGATCTCTGGCTCTTACCTGCGAGCTAAATTTTATCAGCACCATGTACTGGTTGGGTGTAGAGTCTCTGATGATCTTCATGTGCTCGATTACTTCGTAGAAGGAGGCCACAAACTTCATCAGGTCGTGGCTGGTCATGGTAGCAGGGACGGTGAGGATGCAGAGCATGGCGCTGCGCCTGACGTCCTCCTTCAAGGAGGTCATCTTGCTGGAAAGACAACAGTTAGRCAACAGTTGGACACCGCCATGGCATTTCACAGGGAGAACGAAGGCACAACCRGATGCACCACACTTACAACAACGGCTGTTCTTACAATAGTTGGGCTGTTAATCTCAATCCTCCTTTGCACTTTTGTAAATATTCAGGAGAAGCGAGGGGTTGTGTAAGCATCTAAAATACCCACATGGAACTGCTCCTCTTTAGCAAAGGATTAAAATGGGCAACTCAAAACAAAACAAAAACCACTGGWATTGTCAGGAATAATTTGACATCCGTTTTTCTATAGAAACGGTTGTAGCTGGCAAGCCACAGAGGCTCATAACTATTCCTAGAATGAGCGAGCGATACTTGTTACCATTTCACATGCCCGTTTTGTGTCTCCTGAGAGTTTTCAGGAAGACCTGAAATGGGAGTTCTCGTGTAGTTACACAGGAATGACATGGAATCGTAATGCCTGAAACAAGGGATGAAATCCCCAGCTCTGGAATTTAACCGTGGGCTGTCTCAAGAAGCTGCTTTCCAACATCCTCTTTCAGGAATGAGCATTTGCTGGATGCTCCTGTGACCAGTCCCTGGCAACAGCCAGGAGACTGAGCCAGCCACACGCTCTACCAGTCACACAAGGCACCGCCTCAGGCCRGATGTCACCTGTCCTGCCTGTCCCTGCTCATCCGGCTCAGGAGCCCGAGCCCTCGGGTGACCAGCTCGCCCTCCTGGGTGCCGGCATGAGTCAGGAGCACCGTTCCCACGAGGGCTACAATTAGCTGAGTGCTCTTACTTTGTTTTGTACAGGTGCATGATGCCGTGAACTATTTCGACTGACGGATTCCCGCTGAAGAAGGAAATCTGGTCGGGGAGCTGCTTGGAGGGCGAGTCTGGAGCAGCCCCGCGCTCTTTGCTTTGATCCTCCTGTTTACTCTTGTCCTCGGCAGACGCGGCCTCCGACGGTTTTCTCTCTTCCATAGCAGCTTTAGTTGCATCTTTTACAAATCAAAAGCTTTCAGGTTACTAACTGCACATCGGGGACAGCTTCGGTTCTCTAAGCCCAGCCTACATGGACATCCCTCTCTGGCAAGCCAAACTACRTCCCTGTAAGGCAGCAGAGCAAAACACCCCTAGACTTGGCTGATGCCCAGCCAGGAGCTCCGCAAGCCCCCCARGGCAGCTCTGCCCTGGGCCAGGCCGGGCCCCAGCACACGCAGACACGGGCTCTGCTTTGGGGCCACTTCGGGAGGATTTGGCACCGCCATCCTCAGCTTCCCCCGCACCAGGGAACACGGCAGAGCTGGAACGTTTGGCTCCTTTGGGCCAGGCAGCGCAGCCCCAGATAAATGAAGACCCCTGCCCGCATTAACGGGGAGCGCGGCCGGTACCTGCGCGGGGCTGCAGCGTCTCGATGATCACGTCCGTCATCTCCCTGCGGCCCAGGTGCTGGTGCAGGATGGCGGCGCGCTCGCCGGGGCCCTTGCCCTGCAGGCAGGCGGGCACGGCCGCCCCGGGCCCCTCGGCGGCCATGTCGGGAGCTGCGGGCGGGACACACGGCTCGGAGCGGGGCCCACCGGGGAGCCGCCATGGGGACACGACCGCCTCCCCCCCCCCGCCACAGAACCGCGCCCGGGGGCGGCGGGACTCACGGGCCGCGCTGTAGGCGAAGCCGGCGGGCAGCGGCGAGCGCTCGTCCAGCTCGAGCCGGATCACCACGAGGGACACGCTCATGGGCCCGCGCGCCGAGGCCACCGGCGAGCACCGGGAGCCGCCGCTTCCGCCCCGCGCACCTTTACCCTCTGACCCGCCCCGCCCCGCGGCGGCACGGAGCGGGGCGGCGACGGGGGAGGAGCGAGCCTCGGGTTTGTTCTCGCGAGACTCGGCGCTGAAGCTTGCCCTGTTCCTGGCAAGGCAAGGCG